TATTTCTTTTCTCCTCACTAAGAGAACTTGGTATTGCTGTTTTACTGTACCTTTACACATCTGTACTTTCAGTCAGCAAAGCCTGTTTAGCTTGCAGTGCACAGCTAAGTTCCTCATGCCATCAAACATCTGGATTCTATTATATTTTCTTGTAGGACAAGAGAAACTTGATGGGGGGAAAATGAGGAGCAATCAGCTTTAATGAAAGTTTGCTGGCACTGTGCAGCTTAAACCTTCCGTCAACATATTTCATTCACTTTGTCCATCATTTAAATCTTTTCCTAAAAATTAAATCCTTTCCATGTGGCTCTGTTTCTTGTTGCTTCTGAAGTCAGGAGAATACAAATTAAGCCCAGGAATTAAGAAGAATATTTTTTCTACTTCTACAAGGTTTGGGGAAAATGGAATTTATCTTTGCATTCAAAATTTGCTTTTATTTTACACAACTACTTAATTGTATTACTACTAAACAAGAAATGTTATTAGGCAGTGATTCAGGATAATAACGTAGACTTCATTGCCTTACACTACGCTTAGTTTGCAGAAACCACTTTATTTAAAAATCTCATTTGAAGGGATCTGTTAGCTGAGGCCATTTTCAATTAATTTTGGAAGAGACTGTTTTCTCAAGTGGTATGACTGTGATTTTATCTTTTTTGTTCCATTAAACTAACTATGTATTTACAAGAGTATTTTTTTTCCCTGTGTAATTAAGACACAAGCAAAACAAAAAGCACTGACAATGTTCTCCTCTCCTCTCCTCTCCTCTCCTCTCCTCTCCTCTCCTCTCCTCTCCTCTCCTCTCCTCTCCTCTCCTCTCCTCTCCTCTCCTCTCCTCTCCTCTCCTCTCCTCTCCTCTCCTCTCCTCTCCTCTCCTCTCCTCTCCTCTCCTCTCCTCTCCTCTCCTCTCCTCTCCTCTCCTCTCCTCTCCTCTCCTCTCCTCTCCTCTCCTCCTCTCCTCTCCTCTCCTCTCCTCTCCTCTCCTCTCCTCTCCTCTCCTCTCCTCTCCTCTCCTCTCCTCTCCTCTCCTCTCCTCTCCTCTCCTCTCCTCTCCTCTCCTCTCCTCTCCTTTCCCCTGCTGTTTCTCTCTTTTGGCTAAAATCACATACTACAATAAATTGTGTAGTTTATTAAATTGTTTACAGATGATACAGTTAGAATCTACTCGTAAGTTGTTAAAATGGACATTTTTAGGGAACTAGCCTGTATTGATTTTATGTGGAAAAAAAATCAGATAAGAAAAGAATGAAATGTTAAAAAGGAGAAAACCTTACCATTCAGGTATTTACAGCACTAAAATGCTGCCTATAAATTAGAGATCATGATATCCTCTTTCCCTCTCTCTATTTCTCATTACTAAGGAATGGGTGGAAAGGTTTGCATTTTTAAAGAATCCACAGACCTAGGGTACTTTTGTAGGAAACTGTAGCTGAAATGACGGCTTTTCTTTTATTGTGGAAGGAAACGTAGCATACGTCTTATTTCTTTTCATGTTGCTGGAATGTCTTCTGAATCCAGAAGACAGAACTGGTTGATATACATTAGATTTTAGGTAAATCCACTGATAGTAAAACTGTTCAGAATCATACATGATTATTATCATAAGAATCTACATGGACCAGTGTCTGCAGGTGATTGTAAGCAAAAAAAAATGAAATAGTCACTGAGATCACACAGAGTTTTAAAGGAATTTGAAGCTGCAACAGATGACTCTTACTTAAAAGTGCCTTGTTACCTGAGACTACAGAGCATCATTTTTTAACAAAAATGTTACAAGAGACGTTCAGAAAACAAGCCTGTCAGTCCAATATCTACACAAAACAAATAGGTGGAAAGTATAATAAAGAACAGTGGACATCTGGATAAATATGACTTATCTGGGAAGAGTTAAAACAGTTTTCATAAAAGGAAGTCCTGCCTCGCAGACATAAGGCTATCCTTTGAGGGGATCAAAAAACATGTGGATAAGGGTGATCTGATTGATCTTGGATTTACAAAAGGCTTTCAACAAATTCCTTCACCAAAGGCTTGTAAGAAAACTAAGCAGCCATATTGTAACATGGCTTATAAGTATAAGGTGATGCATGTTGGGGAACAAAAAATTAATTCGCGTATAAAACAATGAGCTTTGAACTGATTAGTATCAGACAAGATTTTAAGATTTTAAAAGATAGTTCCATGAAAGCATCAACTCATTGGCAGCTGAAAAAGCAGATCAGGTGTTAGTAATGCCAGGGTTAGAAATAAGAAAACAAAACAGATAATGTCATCATGTTACTGTATAAATCCCAACTTTTTCTGCAGTCAGATGACTGTTTGGTGTTCCAGACCCTGCCTCAAGAAGGGTATAGAGAAAGACAGCAAGGATAATGAAAGGTATAAGACAGTTTCTGTATAAAGAATGACTAATTTTCCTATTTGTCTTCCCTTGAAAGTAGATGACTGAGGTGGATATGACAGATATCTGTAAAGTAAGTGGAAAACATTACAAATACACTTGGTAAGTATAGCTGCGGATTGCTTGTTCAGTCTCTGACACAAGAAGCAGGGGATGTCAGACAAATCTGTAGGATCCACATTCAAACAAAAGAGGTGATTTTTTTCAACGACACAATATAGTTAGGGATGACTTCTTACAATCAGCTATAAGTACTAAAAGTTATGTGGGCTCAAGAGGAGACTGGAAAAGTTCATAGAAAAGAAATTTATAACTGTTACTAAATACTAAGGAACTGCATCTGGCTGAGGAATTTCTTGAGTGGTAGGCACTGCAGGCCGCCTGAGGAAACTAGTGTACATTTTCCATGTTCTCGTTCTTTTTCCTAAGCAATCATTTTTCACCCCCCTATCAGAGACAACATTTCAGGATATATGGCCTGACTGAAGTCTAAGTACTGTTACTTAGCTACTTTAAGTTTACCAGAGCTCATCAGTGCTAACATGCTAGAATTTTGTACTGGCAGTTCTTGAAAGCAGATGGGCAGCTGGGGGGTTGACCTAGATTTTTTTTCATAAAGATCTTATCATAGATGATCAGATTCAAGCCAGAGCATTGCCTGTATTTTGGCACAGATGAATGTTGGCATTTGTAATTTGCTGAGTTGATAAAGTTGAGTTTTGTCACACAGAATTTTTATCAGTTGTTGCCTACACTCAGATCTTTTGATTTTCGAGAAAACGATGGAGATGAGGGCAACAGTTAAGTGGCTGTGTTTGCTGTTAACTTTAAATTTTTCAGTGGTCCTCAAAATTATCTCTGAATTGATGCTATTTATTTGTACTATAGAGACCAAATAGAAACCAAAATGTCATCAACTCCATGAATGACTCCAATTTTAATGATGATGTGTCCAATTTCTGACCAGCATATAGAAATCCCAAAGGATGCAGAGAATGTACTAGAAGATAAGACTACTATTAAAAAGCAAGATATGCTGAGGCATAAGCATTTAAGGAAGGCATATATGGCAAATGGGAGTTGTTAATGCCTATGGAGCATTATTTGTTAGAGATTAGGACATAGGAAGCTTTGGGTAGCTTTTTCTTTAGCTTTTTCTACAAGTATTCAGAGGTGTTTGTAAACAGGGATCAGATTTGATTATCCTTTTTTTACCAAAATGATAAAAAAGAGCCTAATACAAACTGAATACCAAAGCATCCTAGTAGTAATTAAAAACATAAATTTGCCCATAAATTTATAACATTTGAAAGGTTGATGCATCATAAGGTTCATTTTCTGTAAAGAGCAAAACAATATAAAGCAAGAGTATTTTTGTATTTACCAGAGTGCTATAGAGCATTTTTTTTGCAGCTACATGCTTAAGAATTTTACTGTCACAAAATAATCTTAAGAATTTTCATTAGTAAGCAAAAGGAGACAATTCTGTCTATAGCAAGATTTTGCTTAGGGAAAAACTAAAAAGTGTCTGCTAAAGCAACAGATCAACATTGCACGAGATAATAAGGAGCAGCTAGCCCTCTTGAACTGAGTTATTCTAAGTCAGGTTTTTTCACTCAGATGTTGTCTAGCAAAGCTCCTTCACAGACCATTCCCTTTCTGAGTATGGTTTCCCTGATGATTCCTGGCGAAGTGTACAGGCTTAGGTTTAAACCCTCAACAGTTACCAGCTACTTAGAAGCAAAGTCATGTAACTTAAATGTCAAGTGTTTCCCATTGCCCTGACATCTCTGAAGACCTAGATCTGCAGGAGCTCAGCTGTCTACAGTTAGGCTACCTTAAGTCAGGAACCGGGAACAGAATTGCACCCAGATCTTGTAATGCAGTGGCTAATGAATTTCTCACTGAATCATTTTTATTCATGCTTATGATAAGGCTACCTTAAAATGCAAATAATCTTGTGATAACATCATTAGAGTGAATTGATACCTCATTTCACTAATCCCCTTCCCTTCCATGGTGGGAAAAGCATAAGAACAGGCATTATTACGGTCCAATAATGCTTCAGGTCATTGCTAAATAGCAGTGCATGCTTAAATATGCTGGGGCTAGAGAGTAAAGAAGCAATTCCAGGACTGGGACATTAAAAAGTTTTTTTTTTTTTTTTGGCATACCTACAGTGCTGCAGAAAGTGCGTGCAGGGTAAAGATAAAAACCCTAAAAAGAGCTTTCAATCTAAGTGTATCATTAATTCAGAGGATGTACATGATGTTTCACTTTAGATTCTGCTTTCTTCTTTGTTTGGAGTATGAATGCAAGAAGTGGGTAAATTAGAGTTTAAAATGTCTGGCACCATTTATTAAAGTAAACTTATGTGCTAAATCATCACTGGGAAATGTACACTTCTTTCTGCTGTTGTTTTGATTTAGCTGTCACGAGAGACTCAAGTTTAAATACAGCCTTTTCTGCTTCATGGCCGAGCCTCTTTGTGTGCGTTTCCTCAGTGTTACTTACTTTACTTTGAAGGTGGGCTGAGCGTAGGAATCTGACGAAAGAGTGGGCTGTGCCCTTGGTCTGAGAGAGCTCTTACATTCTTCTGAATGACTACATTTGCTAGTGCAGTACGCAGCAGCAGCAACAGTGTGGTGCTCTGGGTCTCCAGCTCTGCCTGGCAGACAAACCTCAGGCTCGCTGAACATCTGCAAGACAAATTTTTCATGTTCTTTTGTAAATGAATGCTGCCTAACTGCACCAGGAAAATGGGCACAGGGGATTACATCTGCATTGCTATGACTGGAGGGGCGCCTTGGGGCTTTAGATTGCAAGGTGGCAAGGAGCAAAAGCAGCCTTTGCAAATCGCCAAGGTAGGATCATGAGAGAAAGATGTCAGTGTTTTGTGAACATGAGTGAAGAAAACAGTTTGTTAAATATATACTGCCTTGGTGTGGGTTGTATTGTGATGCTTGCTTGAATGTGATAACACATTTTGCAGAGATTCTACAGGTGCTGATTGTGTTTGTTTCAATATAAGGGATGATTACGTTTAGATAGTTAACAAGTATTGCAAACATTCTCTTGAATGTAAAAGTTTTGAAACTGTGAGGTGATGTATGTCTTTCAGCTCCTATTCAACTCACTATATGCTTTTGAATGTTCTCAGCATATCGCAACACTGAATCTCATATTAGGAAATGCTGTTTCAGTCATCTATTTACGATACTTCTCTTCTCAAGCATAAAATAAATACAGCTTTATCATGAGAAAATGTTCTTACTATTTTGGGAATCCCGGAAAGCATTACACTGAGTTATCTCTGTTTTTGGAAAGTTAGCCAGCTTTAACAGAAGCCAAACATTTCCTTTTATATTTCATGAACAACACTGAAAATTACTGAATGCTTCATAAATTACCTTCATGGATAAAAAGAAAGCAAAAGAGATAGCAGAAGTTTAGAATAAACTGAAGTAAGTCCCTGGAGAATTGGTAACCCCAAGTTAAAAAATAATACTTTAAAAAGTAGCGCTGTTAAAAATAATTGCTCATGCCACTGCAACAATGAAGATTTGTCATGGTTATTGAGGCTTATGTAACTGTATGGAGCTGTGTTCTGTTTTCCTATACAAGGGGGACAAATTTTGTCCAGAGCTCTGGGATCAGCAAAATGCCATTGGCTGAAACAGTGCTGGGACTGCTCACCATACAATTCTCCCTTTTTAAACTGAGAGAGATTAAAATATACCTTAGGCCAGAAAAATAGGCAGAGAGACAAGATGTCTAGGGATTTGCAGATCACCTTTTAGTATCTTGGTAGTTTCAGCACACTGAGTGTTAAATTTTTTGGATTTTAATATATAATTTTAGATCAGAAGTTCAGCTGTTTAAGCTCTAACTTTTTAAGCTGTCAATGTACTTATTAACTAGTTACATCTAATTTACTGGATCAGTTAAATTTTTTCCACACATATCAGAACAGTGTGTGTAAATCTACCTCATCTTATAAAAGAAGGTCCTTGTAGTTCCTCTGTCAAGAAAAGAACATCTTTCACTATTATTTTCAGTTAAGTCCATAGTATTAATCATATTCAGTAAGCGAATTATTTTTATTGAGTTTATGTATCATTTTTCTATTATTAAGGTTTTAGGCTTGTTTCAATGTTTTGCAAAACCTGAACATGTTTAAATTTTTTTTCCTACTGATAGGCAACTGTTGCTTCACAAGTAAAGCCACTGATAATAGATAACAGTGGAGTCCTGCCATCTAGTGAAAATTTATAGCTAGAACTTCAAAAATTTTAAGAAATAGTGAAAGGCAACTGCCCTTGATTATGTAAAACTAAAATAAAAAAAATCACAGTAATTTGAACACAAGATTATGAATAAACTTTAGTTTTTTTGACAACTACAGTCCACACCAGATACTTTTTTTTTTCATATTCACATCCTAGACAGCAGCACTTAAGTTACATTTCCCTTTTACCACCAAAATTTGGAGCTTGAGAACTAGAGACATGGTAACAGTTATGACTTTTCCCTTTTTCTAATGGCAACATCAAAATTTAGGAAACAAGTATATCTATTTTTAGAAAAAGAACAAAGCATGAGTTTGTTTTCTTGAAAATGAAACTAATCAACAGGTTGATACAATACTTTGTAAGAATACATATCTATCAGCACGTATGTGTTATAAGCATGGTGGATTGGTTGCAGCTAGGCACTGTGTGGCCCGTTTTGGGGAGAGGCAATGTTTGCAGCTTTTCTTCCATTATCCATGAAAACTGAAACTAATAACACATGAAAGATTAAACAATTACACAGCTATTGCATAGTGATTTTCCTGCTGGCTCCAAGATCTAAAGGTATTGTTTTCCAAACACATTTTTTTAAAAGTGTAAGGTTCAACTTCTGCACTAGTTCATATTAATGTAGCTCCATGGAACCGGTGGGTCATTGCCAATTTACACCAACGCAGATTTTGTCAGAAGCGTGTATTTCTCTTTTGGTATCTCAGCTTGGCAGGAAAGCTGTGAGGGGTTGCTGTCGTTGTTGTTGAACACAACCTGAGTGCAATATACCCCTGCACAGCTGCTGAACTGCACTCAGGCCCCAGTCATAAGCAGAGCAGGGGCTGTGATACGGATCTAAAGGGGAGAGGGAAGTAACACGGAGAGAAGTGAGATAATCCATGAAATTTTAGCAGGATACAAAAATCCCAAATTCACACTTATCTACACTTGGTAAAGGAAATACACTGTTTTTAAAGCTAATGAAATAAGTCATTGTAGTTCACTATCAGAAGCAACTTTTACCAGTTTGACTTATGACTGCTTTTTGAAAATATTGTTTTGTCACTTTTAACAAGAAAAGTGTAGAAAAATTGTGTTTCTTACCCAGCTCTTACACTGTATAGGCAAGTAGCATTCCCACTAAAATCAATGAGAGTGTAGTATGAAGTATCATCTACCATTATCATGCTAAGTGTTAACAGAGAGACAGAAGCCTTTTGCCTTCCCAATAAATATCTTGTGGTGTATTTCCTCACCAGCACATAAAATAGGAAATTTTCATCTGCAAAGAATTTTCAAACCATTAAATTAGATTCAAGACATCTCAATAATTTGTTAATTGTGAGATTGCAACAAATGGAGATTTTTTTGAACTATCATGAAGTATCACATTGCTTTGTTCATTTATAACACTTATTCAAAACATGCAGTTTTTAAAAACATTTGACTCTTTTTCCATAGAAGCATACAAAATATTTAGCCACCCCCAGCTCAAACCCTGGATCCTTAGATCAACTCATTTTGTTAAGTCTGCTATTGTAAACACTTCACAAAAAATATTGTCCATTAAAAATAGTTTGCATAATCTTTGTTTGTCCAAATACATCAAAATGAACTAAAAAATATCTGTTTTAAATGCACTGTCAAAGACAAAACTGTGCTAAAGAAAGCTATCTAATAAATGTTCTAGAAATAAAAAAGATAATCGGTAGTACTAAACAAAGGAAAAGAGTGGTTGTATCAGTTGTGCTGTGCATGTACAACAACAATAAAACATGTCAGTATAGCACTATAGAGTACCTTTTCCAAAGCATGAGACGGTTTGGAAATCAAAATATAACAGTGACCCTAGATGGTTAAGAATTCCAGATATATAAGAGCAAAGTGGCACGTGATGTCCCTTCTGTTTCCACTATAACATACATGAAAGAATGCTTATTTTTCTCAATGTCATGGACTTCTTCCATGTAAATATCTCTGCAGTTTTTAATTTATAAAATATATAAAAACTGTATTTGCAAAATGATGGATGATTTTCTGGACTAACATTTGAAACAAAGTCCTGTTAATGTTCCTACTAACACTTAACAATGCCAGCTGTTACATATAGCGTAGCTATAGCCTTTAAGAAGCACCTCTCTGGCAACAAGTAATTTAATGTAGTTGTCTATGGATGACTGATTTATAGTTCAACCATAGTGTAACTGCATTAAATTACCTGGTTGCAACAGAGGTACGCTATGTTCAGCATATTCATTACCTACACCAAGCAGCAATTTGATGAACTCATTGTTTATATCTGTCAAAGTCTTGCTAACTTACTTTTGGGAAATTAACTGAATATTTCTAATATTCAAGGGTGATAAGTTCTGTCACTTAGACCTCTAACTACTTCAAAGGAAATTCAGTCCTCATTCTCATATTGGTATCCTAGAAGTAAAAATGAGCAGATGCTTACAAATCCTTATGATCAGTTATGCTTAAGACACTGAAGAAACTGATGTTACTCAGAGTGGTGCCTCACTTGTTAGTGATTTCAAATCACATCAGGTCTAGAAGTACTCTGGTAAATATGGCTATATTCTGATCAATACAGATATATTTCTACATACATCAGCAAAAACCACATCTTCAAAGGGAATCATGTTGTCCTACTTTATAGCTTTGAGAGCATCCGCATCTCTCCCTGATTCATCAATGGCAGAATATTGTCTAATTGTATATGGAGAAACACATAACGTTTTCTTTTTTTTTCTTTTTCTTTTTTTTTTTTAAAGTGCTGATAAACTTCATGTAATTTTTCAGCAACTTTTTCAACTAAATTTTTAGAAAAACAAAATCATAACATTTCCCCTCCTTTAATTTCTACCATACCAATTTGCCAGTGCATAATTGCAATTATAATGCTTATCCTCTACAATTTCAAGTTATTTCAAAGAACTTAATGGACACTTTGAAACTAATTTGTTTTTGTTTTTTGAAACTATTTTGAAACTCAGTATGGTTTTGCTCCCTGAAAACCTTTGCTCTACTTTGATGGATGTTCTTTTATGTCGGAACATGTAAAATATCACACAATTTCCACTGTCCTGTAAATGTTAACTATAGTCCTAATTAATTCTGTGAAATACTTTGATAATTCATGGTTCAAATCCAATGGCTTCAACTAGGCTTCATGCAAAACATTTACAGTTTGTGGCTATTTTGCCAATTTCTTAAATGGACCGCTACTGCTACACAAATAGTAGCTTTACCTTTGCCTTAGTAATGACATGTGACAACTGGCTGCCTTGTCATTTTGGACTTGTCACTTGTCCATGAGAACTCTCTGATTTCAATTCAAGTCTCAGTTTCATCATTTTGGATTCAATGGAACCTGAAACTGAAAGAGAAACTCAAAGACTTGGCAACAATCTGAACCATCAGTGTGAAATGTTGATGTCTGAATTTGATCAGTTAATGTTGGATGTATACAGAGGTGGGCTTTAGTGTGGTTGTTTGGCTTTCTTCCTGTGTTTATCTGAAAAACTTGACACATGCAGAACAAGCCCTAGAGACTTTCATCAAGTTGACCTTTACAT